TAGAAATCTATGAAATCTATGAAAACAAAATGTGTATGTCTTTGACAGTCTCAGCTGAATATTCTCCCAAAACACAGTGTAACTCATTTCCTATTAACTACCCAAGATGCTGCTCCCGTTGCTTTTTGTAAAATCCCCCATAATGTGAAACTCTGAAGAGTTGCACATGGTACCTATGGCATTTCTGTGATGAGAAGGTCCTTGAAAGTTACAGCCTGCAAAGACCTTTAGCGTGCCTCAGCCTAAGTGCTTGTGGGAGTTGCTCAACAAGAAGCTCAGGCTTTCTTACTTCTGTCTGACATGCAGTAGTGGAAACCTCATATAGCACCTTGAAAATGTACCCTGGGGTCTCAGTCCCCTCAGTCCTGCTATCGTGCACTCTTCTACGGCTATGAACAGTGAGGAGTAAAAATAAATGCTGTGAAAACACACCAAACTGTGACACTCTGTTGTTGACCAGTGCTGAGAGTCTCTAAAAGGTATCCCACATCTCCCAGAAACACTCATGAAGAACATTCACTACCTTTTGGTTTAATGCCTACCTTGCTCCGTCAAAGTGTACTCTTAACTAAAATGAACTACACTTAACAGAGTGCAATCTTAACTAATAAACTGCCAAAGGCCGAAATACCAGAAAACATTAACAAGTGCTGACAAATTCAAAGCCTCCCATCTTAGACAAAAAAACCTTCACTTCTCCTTCTATGGGCAAGCTGGACATCTAACTGCAAGCACTTAAAATACCCAACGTAGTGCACTCAGCTAAGAATAAGGATGAGATTTATTGTACGTGACTCAAACACTCCCTTTATGTAACAGTAAAAAAGACGTTATACATTTAAACTACCTATCTGAAGATGACAAAAATGGACTGACCAGAAAGTAGTTTGATGAAAAAGACTGAGTGAAAGCCTGCTTATTTCACATTCTAAAAACAATTTGCTGCTGCAACTTAACATAAAATCTTGAGTTAGAAATTAGTAAGCTGGTTTGGATAATACTTCTACCTTCAGTGGAGATGTATCCAGCTTTCAGGATCAGTAGTTTATCAGAAATTACTCTCCTCTTCTTTCTACTGCTAAATTCCACCTACTCTCTGAACTGAGAATTACCAATACCATTGCTTTCAGAAAGCTAACCCAGGAATAAAATCTGGCAGAGGAATGAATGGGATGGCAGTCGTGCCAATGATACCGCTCACTGCCAAGGAATGAAATGTGCATTCCCATGAGCCAGTTGTCCTTTGTCCAGACTCGTGCCTACAAAAAGTGACAGTCTCTTTCGTTAATACTGCTCTAAGATTACCAGCATCGCATAGGTGAGAGGTAAGCAGAGTTAAAAGAAAGGACTGGGTTTCTGAAGAGACAATGGGCTGGAGCCTTCAAGATGCCAGGCCCTTCAGCTCCAACCCTGTCAAGTCCCATAGTTTACACAGTCACATGGGAAAAACATCACCAAAAATGTTACCAAGAAGACTTGCTAGAACTGCGGCCATAGTACTCAGCACCACTAACGCCTGTGATGTGAAAGCTGCATTGAATGCCAAGTGACAAAGAAAACCAAACATCCTAAGCTTGCAAAGTTTATCACACCTCATGGTCCCGTCCCCGGCAGCCACTGAGCAGTGGTCATGCAACTTTCCTGGTGTGGAGCCTGGGGGAGATCCTGTGCTCACCATGGGCCAGAAAAAATCCCAGGCCCCACAGCTCACTGTTTTGATCCCTCACGGCGAGTCCTATAGCTGAAGGAATGCTTTTTAAACAGACTGAACAAAGATTAACGCTGTCTGTTTCAAAAAAGCAAGGCAGCTTCACATTAATTCCTAGGTATCTGGTCTCATGGATTTGCTAAGAGTTTGCAACTGAAGATAAAATCTTCAAATCCAAATGAAGCAATTTTTAGTAGATGCTTAAAGGTTCACCTAAAGAGTAATGCCATTTTTTTTCCATATTGATTGGAATTCTTTTCAGTTAATCTTTCACAACAGAATGAACAATGCAAGCATGCCACTACAAAGCAACCAGAAACACACCTGCGACTTTATTTCTTCATCATGACAGTTTGGAATTTATTCACTTATATCCCCATTTAGACACAACAGCAGTAACAAAATATCTGTACACTACTTCTGTTACAAATATAGATACTATTTAAAGTGACTTTACACTTTAGGCATTTCTCAATCTAACCCAGGAATAACTACAGAAGAGCAATTCAATAACAACAGCATCCAGTAATGGTACCATCTTTTTTCTTTCACGTTAGCCCATCACAGTGTAACTTCTAGAACAGTTAAAGAGTCAAAGAGCATTTTTTTTTTTTTAGTTATTTCACTTAGAACTAGCTATCAATTTGTTAATACTATTCACAGACATCCCCAATACTGTTTTTGTGTCCCACTAAAACAAATGCTAGTCTTCTGCATACTCCCCTAATAATGGCCTGACCACTGCCTGCATTCTCAGTTCCCATTTCATTTCAATGACAACTGACATAGCAGCCTTCTTGCCACAACTGGTTTTTTTTTGCTAATTAACACAAAGGGTCTTGCTGCTATTTAGCATGCTAATTAGCTAGGTATCTTTCTTCCTGAAAAGCCTGGCAGGAAAGTAAGTCATGGGCAAGGTGTGCTTTACCTGCCAGATTCCTAAGAGCCAGTTTGAAGAAGCAGAGGCAAAGGCAGGCTATGATCAGCTAAGAGTCTTGGTGAGTGCAGTTCTTGGATAAAGTTTTAGTGAGAATCCCAACTTAGGAAACTGAGGATGCTGACAAATCTATTGACCACACTGCTGCCCAAAGAACAGCTTCATGGTTGCCATCATGCTTACTAGACACTGCCTTGTATTTGTGCCTCTAAAATTAATAAGACCCAAACAATTTTGTGGCCCCCAAATCTCCTCTTCTGCTTTAATGCTGACGCAGAAAGACCTTCCCTGCTGTCTCACTACTCACCTCTGCTGGGAGGGATTTGCAGCCTTTTTCCCATCCTCAACTCTTGGTATCATGCCTCCTGAGTCCAAGGCAGCCTTACCTTTGCTGCTACTGACACGGCAGCAACAGCATAACATCAGCTTCTTCCCCCTTGGCCCAACCAACATCCACAAGTCTCCGTCTGCAGCGGAGTGGTCCTGCCCTGAGTGGTCTGTTCACAGCTCTGACCCAAGCAGCTCGCAGAAACATCTGCACTGAACCTGGAGTGAGTTAGTTTTGCACGTTGTAAGATGACAACCTTCGCTTGCACACGCTTCATCGTGCGAAGGCTGCTTTCACACACACACAGCCTAGAAAACACTACTATTAAAAAAGTAAAGTCTAAGTTCTTCTAATACTGCAGTTGCTGGGCACTCATTCACTAGGAGTAGTTTCCACTAGCAAATGTATTTTTCAGCCCTGAGCACAAGTCCTCTCCTTTCAAAACAAACACACACTCCTCTGCCTCAAAAAAAACAACCCCAAACCCTCAAACCTAAGCCAAACTAAACCACAGTTTTCTGGTTTTTGGACACATAATGACTTTGGAAATTTAAACACACAAACAGACAAGCAAAAAAACCCACCCAAGTCACCCTCCCAGCTCCTTCAACTTGGACATGGTGAAATAATACATATAACCATTGAAGTCCATTTATCATCTGCCTCCAGATTACATACTTTTCCTTTTTTTCCCAGAATTCCATACTTTGTTAATAGTCTCTTTCTTCAATGACCTTATTCCTGTTTTCTGACTACTGCTACCCATGCCACCCCGTTGCTGACTTGGTGCTTTTATCATTTTTCCAATGTATTTCAAATAACTAAAGCCTTTTAGTAAAACTTTCCTGTTGTGTGGTTACTAATGCAAACATTCCTGGTTTTTTTTTTGTTTTTTTTTTTTTTTCTGGCTTACAAGCATTCACTATAACACTAATAGGACAAATATCCATGTCTTTCCATACTTGACATAACTCCATCCCAGTGATCTGACAGCAAGAGAAATACTTCTGCTGTATACAAAAATACGGTTAAATGTTATTTTTCTTCAGTGTTGTAACACAGTCCTGTGAAGCTGGAAGAGCAGGAAGGCTATATAAACATTTCCATTCTCTCTGCTATGTGGAACGTAAATAATACAGTCTTATTGACCCTACCCCTTTGGACAGCCAGTTCACGACAGAACAGTCAACGTGACTGTTCCTTTTGTCCTTTTAAGAATGGCAACCGCCTCCTCATGGGTCACCCCTTCTAAACTCTGCCCATTCACAGCAATGATTTGATCCCCCCTCTTCAGGCGTCCATCTTCTGCTGCTGCACCCTGAAACGACACAACATGTAACTGCAGACGTAGGCATTTCTTTTCCTCCCCTGCCACACTGCCATTATGGTCGGAACGAGATGGATTCAGAGCACAAAATCCCTTAAAAGTTTTTTTGATTTTCAATGATTCAACTACAGTCAACTGTAGTACAGCTGGTGCTGCAGTATGCCCTGCCCTGTCTAAGATTCACAACATCTAGAAATCGGATCTACAGGATTTTTGTATTCCCTTAATCCTGTTCGTCTAGTTAGTATAACATTTAAGCTCTACTATCATAGAAGTAAGATTTTCGAGAACTTGAAGAAGTTTTCAGCAACTGGTATAAGAAATTCAGCAAACAAAACCCCGCTCTGTACTTTGATCTACTATAAAAGTTTGGGATTCTTGATTCCAGTTTGACTCAGGGCTGTTTCCCAGGGCAGTCCAACCTATCAAATCCAAGTCAGTACCTGAACTTCTCCAAAGGTCTAGGCTGAGTTCAATTATTCTATCACATTCTAACTTTTAGACTCTTGGTCAAAATAAAAAATCCAGTCCCTTCTACTACCTGAAGAAAAGATACTCTAAACGTAAGGCAAGGGGACTGTTTTTTGTAAGTATGTGGAAAATTTCAGTTTTGAGAGTCGAAGAAGTCTCTGCCACATGCAGAGTCACACGCACTTGGAAATTCTGAATCTTGCCAAGACTATAGCCTTCAAATGCTGCAAGCACATTTTGACCAGCACTTGCACTAAGGAAGAAAAGCTGTGAGAAACTGTAACAATCCTTTGGCTTCAAACTCAGGCCATGATTTAGGATAGTAGCTGCTGTGAACTAACTCATAAACGGATTGACTGAACAAATTTACACTTACCTTTGCAAACACGGTCTTCACATAAATGGGTAAGTCTCCATGGGGACTGCCATAACCACCCACGATACTAAAGCCTAGGCCATCTGGTCCTCTATCCAGAGTAATGGTCTTGTACTGAGGAGGTCTAAGGAACAGAAAAAGAGTATTGTGATGTTATCTGAACTTATGATTTAACCTGTAGAATATTCAACATAAAACGTTTTTCCTTTCAAGCCAAGCAATGCATTTCCCTTTCCACTATAACTACAAATGCTTTTCTTATGATGAACTGGCTATTTTAGTTCATGCAAAACACTGTAACTGTGTAATGTCTTCATTACTCCTTAAAGGTAGTAAGAGGTTCAAACACCTCTTCCACCTAGCTCAGGGCATAGTAACAGCTGCAATGTCCCACTAACAGTGCTTACCAGAGAAGCAGAAAAAAAATACCAGTACCTTGAATCTCTGTAACAAACATCTACTTTAAAAATCCTGTAACCTACTACACCTCCTAAAAAAGGTCTAAAATTAGCCCCAGTAGTTTATGTTGTAAAGTTTAACTGCTTCTCTCCTCCTCTAATATATGACTGTGTATTCGCACGTATGCTTTTATACAGACCATTTATAGGTATAGATCCCCACATCCATTATGACTATAAGAAATTCTGAAGTTCTATCTTTCAAAGTAGATCTGTGTGGCTAAAGAAATCCCATGCTCTCTTTTCTTGTTCCTAGAAGAAAAACGCCTCAGATTTATGACTGAGTTTGAGGCGAAACTTGTTTACACAGCTGTACCTTGCAGCATACCAGAAGCAGTACACCTTGTATACCAGAAAAGTTCAATGCTCCTGATGGCCCAGTGCTAGAAACGTTATGGAAACACAGGTACCACTGTGGAAAGGGCCTTCCTATTTAAGCTTGAGGAAAAAAAAAAAAAAAAAAGGTGTGTATTAACTAGTCCCAGCTACCAAGGCTTAGTGAAAGAAAGGAGGCTATACTTACAGAGAGCAACTCAAATCACATCATAACTCTACAGAGGGGCAAAACAGAGCAGCGCAGCAAATCACATCATGAAAAATGCAGAAGAGAACCTATGGCCTACAGGTCCCGTGTGTAACGGGGAGTTATATGTGTAAGTCATCATTAAATTAAACAATTCATCCATTATTTGCTAGCATTTTTAAATTTTTTAGGTAGAGATCCGCCCAAAATAACAGGATACAGAGGTTGTATGTTCTATAGTTACTGACCCTAAATCATCCTGAAAAATGCTGGTTGAAGTTAGTCCAGTAAATGAAAGATTGGACGTAGGTGGATCCTGCTGCTGACCAGTTATGACACTTACTTCTCCTCCAGCTACAACCTAGGAACAGAGTTCATAAACCAGTACAATGAGAATGCTGACACTTAAATAATTAATTGCAGCAGCTGGCAAAACAGTATTCACAAAATATTCCAAATGTCACTGAAGATTTTTTACCTGCAATTCAATAGTGCCTGAAGCATTTTTTAAGAGACTAACAGCTTGGGAGTGAGTCATGCCCTCAGTAGATGTTCCACAGATGCTAACGATCCTGTCCCCGACCTGCAGAAGAAGATGTAGAAAATCTAACTACCAATAAATTTAGTTACATAGATTTCTTTGTCATTTTCTTTCAACAGTAGATCTGTGTATTTGCATTTAGCTAGATTTTATCAGTGATACAGGGCAGGAAGAAAGAAATTAGCAACTGTTCACAGTACGTTTTCCCTCAAAGCCATATCATCTTAGAACTACATAATGACCCAATACAAGGGTAGAAAATTCAACATCGCAATTAGCAAATCACACTGGTTTAGTGTATTCAGTGTGAAAAACTAATGGTGCTTTACAGAATCGATACAATACTCCAGAAATACACAGCATTTAAAACAAGAGGTGCATTTTGCACGTCACCTGAAGACAGACTGAAGTAGTAAATTATCAGATTATACATTTGAATTCACCCTGAAATAACACTGTCCGTTTTCCAAGGAGCATGAGTCAAATTCAGCCACCTCTGGTACAGACTGGATACAGCATATACGTAAGTGCTGTATCAGGTAAGACCTCCCACTCCAACTCAGAGCCTATAAAGTACTATCTCTATCCTGAGATAGGTAAACACAGAAAACACGAGAGAGAAAGCAGACTGCACACACACAGTTGCAGGAATGACGACCACGCTCATCAGTGAAGCTCACTTAAGGAATCCGTCATTCCGAATCACTTTCTCTACTTTAATTGTCACAAGCTGACTACCTATACGATCCAAGATTGCTTTAGGACTTCCTTCCCAAAGTCAGTATCTTTCAGCAATTACCTTTTACCGTGCTAACAGTCTGAGTTACTGTTTCATCAACCCAAACAGCAAAAATTCTTGTCACAGCCAGAAGCACTTATGACTGTATCATTAAACTGCTAATTTATTGCCTGCCTAGAGTAATTACTGTGCATTACCCATGCAATCTTTACAACCTTCTTAACAATTAACTTACTCTGAGTTTCTGAGTCTGAGCTGCAACTCCATTTGGATGCATCATGGCAATAAATATAGGGACATCTCCAAGAGGACTTCCTACACCTCCAGCAATGCTCACTCCTAGTGAATCTGCAGGGCCCTGTTATTATCATGAAAAAAAGATTAGATTTTTCTGAAAAGAAAAACACATACAGAGAATTGTAGGCTTATCTTAAAAAAAAAATCACAAAAGCCCCTATCTTATGAAAATCAGAACTCCTATGTCTCAAGCCATTTTTTAAGCTAATACACTTTGCATGATTTCAAGAAAACACAATATATGATTCTTCCTTCATATTCACCTTCAGGTGACAATTTGTTGCCTTAGTTGCATGTTTTACCTTAGCCAAACTAAATACTTAACAGAACTCAGCATCAGACCCTTAACGTCAGCATAGAAAGTTTGAGCTAGGAAAACTGGACAGATGGGATTGCTCGTCCTTAATATTGACTGTATCAATGTCCTGTTACAAATCTTCCAAAGACTAGAATCAATCTTAATGCTCCCCCTAGTGCCCTACTGTTGAAGAAGAAAACTAGCTGTCCCCTACTGTACAACACCCTACTACCTGACTGCAAAAACTGCTATTGTAAACTAGTATTTGCAGATTCTACTGTAAAAAGAGAATGGGTACATACAACGCATGTAATCGAGTGAACTAGATGCCAGGAAAAGTCAAATAAATATAAATATTTTGGACAATCAGAAGCACTCTGTGACTCAGAATTCATGCTCCTGTAAATAAGGAAGTCGACTGAATTTCACAGTTGAAAACCTGAGAGCTGTCATATAAGAGCCTGCTCATTAAAAATACGTGTGAAGAAAAATATTACATACCAAATAAAGGGGTTGCAACTTTAGTACAGTTCCCCTGACTTCACTAAAGCAGAGCCTGGATTTAACTCAGTATGATAACAGTAAAACTAGGTCTCATTATCTCTTACTAATCCTTCCTTGCTTCGCTTTTAAAACAGGTCACATAGTGTGATAGCACAAATCGCACTGATTTTACATAAAATATAGGCAGTGGAAATCATACAGTCTTGACCTGAAAAGACAAGCAAATTAATTAGCTATTGCCACACCAA